GACAAGGCGACAGCGTCGCCCGTGCAATGAGAAGGCCAAGGTAAACGCGGTTGCCTACGTACGATGCGAAAGAAGTTCAACGTATATTCACAAAGAGGAATTGAGGCGTTGGAAGTGGCCCAAGTGACACCGTCGACGTTGAATCGAAACAAAATGGTGTCCTCCCCACGTGGGGGAGCTGGGGCCGAGGGACAGGACATAGGACGGACGTCAACTACTGGAATGCCGGACTCACGCCTCTCCATAAACCTCACCCGAACATAACCCAAACACGACCCAAACCTCACCCAAAGCACGACCCAAAACACAATCCCAACTTGACCCCGTATATAACTCAAACTTCACCCCAAGCATGACCCAAACCTGACCAAAAAGCAACCCCCTCCCACACTCCCCCCGCCCCCCCAACTCCTCCGGATCGCAGACGGTGCAGACCGGTGCCACGGAGCACCGGCTACGGGGGCTTCGTCCCGGCATCCCCTACTGGCTGAGGGTCCGCACGGGTCCCGACGGGGAGACCCTGCGCGGGTCCTGGAGCGAGTGGTCCCAGCCCGTCATGGCCACGCCACGCGCATCGCCCGGTACGATCCGTGCTGTCGGTACAGCCGGTGTCGAGTGGGTACAGCCGGTGTAGCGGTGTGCGAGGCGTACCGGTGTGGTGCGTGCGGTGTAGCGGTGCGGTGTAGCAGTGCGTGCGGTGTAGCAGTCCAGTGTAGCGGTGCGGTGTAACAATGTGGTGAAGTAGTGTGGTGTAGTGATGTGGTATACCGGTGCGTGCGGTGCAGGTGGGTTCCATCTGCAGTGCGCGACGCGTGACCTCCGAACCTTGCTCTGCCACTGGGCGAGTGTCAGCCCGGGCAGCAACTACTCACTCTACTACCAGGACGAGTGAGTCCTCACCACCACCACCACCACAACTCCAACTACCACAACTACTCACCCAGCGATAGAAATGGGTACAACCACAATTAGTCCATCGGCGGAGACTCCCAAAGCGTGGGTTGTTTCCACGTCTTCCGAGGTACCTTGCCCTGGCCAGCGCGGGATTTTTTGGCCAAATCTAAGAGGGTTCCGTAGAGCTCCCTTCGAGCGGATGGCCCGAGCAAGCAGGTATGACGACTGAGGCTTGAGGGGGGGGGGGGGGGGATAGGGAAAGAGCGAGGCAGGGATAGTCGTGGAGACACAGTTCCAGCAGGGGAGTGCAGGCTGGATGTGTGGGGTGAGGAAGACAGACAGAGAGAGATGGTGACCGAGCACGCAGGCGGCAGGGGAGCGGGGTGTGGGGAAGAGCGCTCGTTACAAAAAAAAAACCAGACACGCGAGAGATAAGAGAGAGAGAAAGAAAGAAGAAAAAGAGGAAAATAATCTGTGGCTGTATTTGGTTATTTTATCGAGTAGAAGTCGAACGACCGTCTGCGACCTGCGATCGGAGCAAACGTCACACGTGAAATTCCCGTGCGAGCGAGACGACTCGTCGCACGGGGGACCGCCCTGCGTCTTTGCCTCCCGGCCCCCCACCCCCCATTCGCCTCTTAAACTCCGCCGCGTGCGGTGGCCGCAGGGAGCTTGGCTCGGAGTGGAAGTGCGGCTCTGAGTCGGCGCGCTGGGGCTCCCAGGAAGAGCCCGGGTCTCGCTGCTCGCTGTCTCCGCCGTCGCCGTTGACGCGCGTGCGTCTGTCCGTGCGTCAGCGCGATCCCCCTCGGCACCGCGTACTCATCACCGAGCCCTTCTGCATGGCCGACGTCGGTGGGTGGAACGCTGCGTTCTCGCCGGATTGAGCCAATGACCCCTGGGACGACACAAAACGTCGGCACTCCTATCGTGTTTTTTTTGTGTGTGTGCGATTCGCTTGTTGCTGTTACTGTTGTGACATTTTTCGATTGAAAGCTTTCGTGACTGCAGGGATTCATCTTCTTGGTTCTTTCGGTAAAGTCACGTAGAAGGGGAATAATAAAATAATAAAAATAAAACATAATAAAATAATTATCACGACGTTTCGGCCACAACGCAAGCAGCCGTTGTGGCCGAAACGTCGTGAGAATTATTGAATCATGTTTTATTTTTATTATTTTATTATTTCCCTTCTACGTGACTTTACCGAAAGAACCAAGAAGATGTTGTGACATTCTTACCGCCCGTGCCCCTACTCGTAAGTGTCAATCCGTTACGGGTTACCCCGTATTCTTGTGCAAGGAAATTGAGTTTTCAGGTCCATACGGCACTAAAGCCGTTTCAATACGGGCAAAAAATTTGTTGTCTATTTGTTTGTGTTTCTTCCTTGTGATGGGACTTTGTAGGATGAACGTTGAGATTTATAAGGGCACGGGGTGACCAATAAGGTCTGAACTGGTCTGTAGTCAGGTAGGCACTCATAAGGGGTTGACAGGTATGCCCTCCTGGACATCTGCGAGAAAGAGCTTTACAGCTCATCGGATTCCTCCAGTCTAAATAAAGGTTATGATTCTTCGGCTGCTTTAGGCTCCACTCGGTGTGGGTCGATGGCTTCGTCTCTGTACGCAGGCCGATCGCCGCACGGCATCGCGCTTGTCTTCACCGCAATTCCCCGCGTCGTTCTTAGATCCCAACGGCGCCCTCCTGGGGGACCGCACGAATCCCCAAACTCAACCTGGCGGGGTCCGGACGGAGATGGGCGGAGGGGAACTGAGACTGAGTTGGTCCGAGTCCGGATTGGGAGCGCCAGGCTGCGACGGAGGCCCGGACCAACCTTGCACGGTGAGGTTGAGGGAGGGAGTTTGTGCTGTACCGTGTGGTGGTGGTGGTGGCGTCTCGTTCACTTCCCATCCCAATGAAATATTTTGGTGATTTCGAAAACATATGGGTAATCTAAATTGTATTATGGTTGTTATTGTTAGACTTGCATCACACTGAGATTTGTGCACACAGCGGTTTTTTATATTTGCTGGTTTATCCAGGATGTTTCTGTTGCGCGTCGTCGCTTTAAGATGATCTCCGTTCATATTTTGTTTGTTGCGGTTGCACCCGACTCAAGAGCCGCATGGCTCACAGGGCTATACCTAATAAAATTAAAAACTTGAAAATGTCCCGCACCTGTAACGTCTCTACGCCCCCCTCCATCGCCCCCCCCATCCTCCCACGCCCCCCCCCCCTTCTACACCCCCCCACGCCCTCCCCCCTCCCACACCCCCCCACATTCTCCCCCCTCCCACACCCCCCCACGCCCTCCCCCCTCCCACGCCCCCCCCCACCTCCCACGCCCCCCCCCACCTCCCACGCCCCCCCCATCCTCCCACGCCACCCCCTCCCACACCCCCCCACGCTCTCCCCCCTCCCACACCCCCCCCACCTCCCACGCCCCCCCCCCACCTCCCACGCCACCCCCTCCCACACCCCCCCACGCTCTCCCCCCTCCCACACCCGCCCCACCTCCCACGCCCCCCCCCCACCTCCCACGCCACCCCCTCCCACACCCCCCCACGCTCTCCCCCCTCCCACACCCCCCCCACCTCCCACGCCCCCCCCCCACCTCCCACGCCACCCCCTCCCACACCCCCCCACGCTCTCCCCCCTCCCACACCCCCCCCACCTCCCACGCCCCCCCCACCTCCCACGCCACCCCCTCCCACACCCCCCCACGCTCTCCCCCCTCCCACACCCCCCCCACCTCCCACGCCCCCCCCCACCTCCCACGCCACCCCCTCCCACACCCCCCCACGCTCTCCCCCCTCCCACACCCCCCCCACCTCCCACGGCCCCCCAGGATGTACGGCTAGGGGAGGGAGAGGGGTCCCACCTGCTCGAGGGTGCGGTGAAGGGGGCCGAGTCACGTGGTCTCCAGGCCCCTGACCCCTCCGAGGGGGTCGACAGGGCGGGCTGGCGTGGTGGATGGGGTGGCAGCGGAAACACGGTGGCTGTGGTCACAAACGCCTCTGAACGGCCAGGTGAGTAAGCCCACCGACTTAGTTGTGCGCGTGTTCAACTTCTTTCGCGCCGTACGTGGTCAACCGTGCTTATCGGAGGTGCGGATGAAAAAACTAACCAGCCATCTGATAATAAACATTTATTTTTAAATTGTGACAATTTCAATAGCGCTGTAAACTAGAGGCCGACTGAAATTCGGCCTCTTTCAGCATAGTTTCTGTTTCGGTCGAAGCCAAAAAGTAAACGTTCGGTTTACTTTCGGTTTCGGCCGAAAGTCAATTTTAAACTTTTGGTCTCGGCCGAAACCAGAAATTCAGTTTCTATCGGCTTCTACCGTAAACACTGCAATGATGAGTGTCACTGCTTCTCGCTCACCCTCCAATAACTAGTGACAAACCACGCGATTATGTATAACCAGTTGGATAGCTACTAACCAGTTCACACCTCCCTCACAGCCTCCAATTCAACCAGCCCACCACACAAACAGGACAAGTGAGTTACCTCGGCCCAATTCGTGCGCATGATGGCAGCAGCATGGTAGAAATGTGGCTCGGGAGATCCGATGTCAATGTCGAGGTCTGCTGGACACGATGAGAGGGCTTCAGCAGAGAGAGAGAGAGAGTTCTTGTCACTTTGCTATTGCTCCTCCTCCGCTGAAGGAGCGCAGACTCCAGGACAGTGGTGTACTATGTGATCAATAACCCACCTCCGTGCTGGCATTTCATGGCCACCTCCCAGGCTAATCATACAACACATCGAGAATTCTTGGGCAGTCTTCCATCCCTGCTTAGCTTTCCAATATGCTGCTTGGGGATGCTTGGCCAAATCCACATCCGGAGTTTTCCTTCGCATTGAGAAGAGAGCGGAGAGCCCGGAGAAAACCCCCACGCTCAATTGAGAAGATTAACACCCGAGCATCCGCTATAAGGACGGATTCATAAACCTCCTCGCCGCATTATCTCCTGGCCACCACGCAGCCAAGTCAGCCGGTTGGAGAGTCTCACAAGAACCCTACGCGATCCACCAAAGCAGAATCAAAATATGTATTTATAGCGGAGGAATCTGATGAGCTATTAAGCTCTTTTTTACAGATCTCCGGTAGGTGCGGGTACGAACGTTACAACAACAAACCAATTTTTCGATTTAAAGCTTTCGTGACTGCAGGCATTCATCTTCTTGGTTCTTTCAGTAAAGTCACGTAGAAGGGATGTAATAAAATAATAAAAATAAAACTAATAAAATAAAATAATTCTCACGACGTTTCGGCCACAACGCAAGCAGCCGTCCTCAGGTGAATAAAGGTCTGTCGGGAAGACAGAGTCTATTTTATTACTTCCCTTCTACGTGACTTTACCGAAATAACCAAGAAGAAGAACAACAAAACAGTACAAAGACGTGACAGTAGTGCCAAGTACAAGAAAGGTAAACAAATCACCCAGACACATACAAATAAAACTAAACCATCCCCATCCTACCAGGCAAAGCCACGGAGCTATGTTCTTATCTTTCAGAAGCGGCCTGGCCACAAATGATGGCTCAAAAAAGTGGCCCATCATTTGGACTTTTATAGCACCGAAATCATCTAAATAATCTCAATGCATGACATGATTTAGATTATTATTCACAGGCGCCGTGGCATAGCGAGTCGATCGGGGCCAGGTGGGGGCGGGGGCGTCCCTGGGCGGTACTGGGGCCGTTCTCAGGACAGGTCCGTGTCGGGTTCGAGCGGCGATGACTTGCGGTCGATCCTGTCCCCCCACAGGGTGGACGCTGGCCTACGTGATCCCGTTCGCCCTGCTGATGAGCGCGGTTCTGGTCGTTATCAAAGGCAGGATGAGGAGGTGAGGTCCCGGACTCGGCGGGTGGATGAGTGGGTGAGCGAGTGAATGGATGAGTGGGTGAGTGAGTGGGTGAGTGAGTGGATGAGTGGGCGAGTGCGTGGATGAGTGGATGAATGGGTGAGTGGATGGGTGGGTGAGAGAGCGGGTGAGTTGATGGGTGGGTGAGAGAGTGGATGAGTGTATGAGTGAGTGGATGATCGAGTGAGTGACTGGGTGGGTGAGTCAGTGGCTGAGCGGGTGAGTGGATGAGTGGGTGAGCGAGTGGATGGGTGGGTGAATGAGTGGATGAGCTAGTGAGTGAGTAGACGAGAGAGTGGATGTGTGTGAGCGAGTGGATGGGTGGGTGAGTGAGTGGATGAGTGAGTGAGTGGATGAGCTAGTGATTGAGTGGGTGAGCGAGTGGATGAGTGGGTGAGCGAGTGGATGAGTGGGTGAGCGAGTGGATGAATGTATGAATGTATGAGTGGGTGAGTGAGTGGATGAGTGGGTGAGTGAGTGGATGCGTGAGTGGATGAGCGAGTGAAACGTAGTTTATTGCCGTGGTGTTGCTCGTGCGCTCGGTGTCGTGGTTGATGTGGTGTTTATCGTTGTTGTGGTTGATATTGTGTTGAACAATATTATTAAAGGAGGAGCATTTTAACCATTTAGGTAGCGTGATAACAGTCGATGGTAGAAGGGTTGCGTAATATAGCTGATTAGAAGAATAGTACTGGCGGAAGATGCGTTTGAGAAAATGGGATTTTATATTACTCCTTGGTTCTTTCGTTAAAGTCACGTAGGTATAAACTAAATTAAATCACGACGTTGTTACAAGCAGCCCTTTTGCCCACTTCAGCAATTGTTTCTTGCTGTGGTTGTCTCACCTGATGACGGACGCTCGTGTTGCGCCCGAAACGTGGTGATTTAATTAATTTTATTTTCTACCTACGTGACTTTACCGAAAGAACCAAGGAGTATGGATCCCTGCAGTCACGAAAACCTCAAATCTAGATTGGGATTTTATATTCAAAATAAGAAGTGATGAATGGCAACGAGAATTAGACTACTACTGCGGTGTCGCGTCTATAGCGGCAAGCGCCGGGCGGACGATGTCACGGTGAATGCGCTGGAAACGCTTTCGATGGTCGTCGATGTTGATGTTGCGGATGATGATGATGATGATGAACCTCCCAACAGGATCAAGCAAAAAGTGTGGCCCGCCGTTCCAGACCTGGAGTCCTCCTTTGACGAACTCTTCACGGTCTTCAAGGGCAACTTCCAGGTACCAGAACGTGGAACGATCCACGGCCATAATTACAACGATCCTCGCGTGGACATCTGTGAAAAATAGCTTTAGAGCTCATCGCATTCCTCCAGTATAAATAAAGATTCCGATAATCACAACGCATTCCACTTGCAGTCGCAGCTGAGACACGTGTCCCTTCTCCTGTGTGCGCGGCGTCCCTGCGGATATCTGGTGGCAGAATTTTCGCCAGAACAGGGGGAGCCCCCCGGGGGGGGGGGGGGAGGGGGGAGGTCAGTGTCGGGTTCAGCGCAGAGGTCGCAAATGGGTTTTGATTCCTTACCCGTACCCGGCCGCACCAGGGTCGCAAACGGCGAGTTTTTTTTTTAGCTATAGGAGGACACTGGCCCCATGCAGAACGTGGGGGGGATGGGGGGGGCGGAACGTAACAACTCCTCACGGCAGCAGCGCCCCGCTCGGGAATTGAACCGAGGGCCTTCTTGCTGTGACGCACAGGGGGCTTGCAATGTGCCCCCGGCGACTTTAGCGCTGCGTCCCCGGGCGCTTGTAATGTCGTCCCATGATTTGCGCCACGTTCTCCGCGGTCGCATGCCGGGGGCCTCTTTGAATTTCCCGCTTGCTTGCGAAGGTGGCGATCGGATCCAGGCGTGTCACGGGTCGTGCGGTTTCCAGTTGAGTCGCGTGCTCTGTTGTTTTCGGAGGCGCGGGTGGTGTGGGAGCAAATCGGCACAGCGGTGACTGCTCGCGTTTTTCCGCACAGGAGTGGGCGAGGCCCGAGAGGGGCGGGCGGATCGTGGTGCGGCCGGCGTGCGAGGTGGAGGAGCGACTCATCTGCCTGGTCGAGGTCGTCTCCGAGGGGGATCAGAGGGAGGAGCAGGAGGAGCAAGCGGAGCAGGCGGACGAGGAAGAGATGGACAAGCGGGAGGAGGTGGAGAGGCGGGCGGAGGGACGCCTCCCGCTCCACGCGTGGCCGCGTCGCAAGGCGCAGAACGCCTACGTGCTCAGGGGAGGAGACGCGGCGGGGAGGCAGCACGGGGAGAGGGAAGCGGAGCTGCTGAGCCCGGATCTTCATGGTTACGGTGACGAAGAAGATGCCGGCGACGATGGCGGTGATGGTGATGATGTAGCAGATGCGGTAACTGTTGATGAAAACGAAGTGGGTGCCGCACACGATGATGACGACGACGATGATGAGGACGACGATGATGATGATGCTGATGGACTTCACATTGCAACTGCTTCTGCTGGAGATGACGATTATGAAGATGCTGCTGATGAGGATAACGTTCCTGCCGCCGATGAAGATTGCAATGCTGCTGTTGATAACGAAGATGCTGATTCCACTGATGTTCTTGAGGATGATGCTGATGCCGTTGCTGAGGATGGTGATCATGATGAGGATAATGATGAAATTGCTGGAAATGAAGATGCTCACTCTACTTATGATTATTATGCTTATGCTGAAGATGTTGCTGATGATGATGACGAAGCTGCCGTTGGATCTGTTCATGATGTCGGTGCTGCTGCTGCAGCTACTTCTGATGAAAACAACGATGACTACAACCACCACCATCGCAGACCCACGGAATCGAGATCCGAGCCAGACGGTGAGGTCTCAGAAAATCCCGGAATTCTCCCGGCGCCCGGCAAACGCAGCCAAGACCCTTACCCAGGAGTCCAACTGCTCGCCCTCCGCTACGAGCGCGTGTGGTGGGGCATCGGAGGCGGGCAACCGGAGCTAGGATGCCGACGCAGCCCCGTCAACTCGCGGGCAGGAGGAGGTGGCGGCAAAGAAGGAGCCGGAAGAGCGGCGACCTTGGAGGTCGCGGGGTCGCAAGAAATCACAAACATGGCGTACGTGATGCGCAAAGAAGCAGGAGAAGCCGGGAGTGGTGGCTACGTGAACGCGACATGAGTGCGGGAGGCAGGTCGGTTGCGGTGCAAGCGTGGCTCTTCCTTTGGCTGGCGTGTGCCATCGAGTGCCACGATCCCAAGTCGCGTGTACGTGGCCCCGTGACGGCTGTCTCCACCTCACACTTTGCCGACTGACGCCGCACTCGCAGTGGACGTGTCATCATCCCAGGCCCCACCCCGAGCCGGATTCGGACGTCTCGTTCGGCCACCTGATCACGGTTTGCTTCCGGGCTCGGCACGGCAAATATCCGGTGGAAAACCACCGGCACCATGAGGGGCCCCGCGCTGACTCGGCTCGGATGTGCCAGTGGAAAAGGGGATATATATATATGAGCTTCGATAAAGAAGCCCTTTTAGAGTGGTTCTGCGGTGGATATCTTCCAGGGAACTGTTCTTAGCCATAAGGAGGCGCGCTGCTTTCTGGGAGAGTACTGGACAGCGAGCATCATGTCACGGTGTTCGTAGCCTATACTGAGGATATTAGTAATAGTACGTGGGTTTTCATGATTCGTTTTTTAATGATAGTGTTTATTTGTTGATAAATGTTCACTCTGCTATTGATGCGTATTCACTCCATCCACTACAACTACCGCCGCCACCACCACCACCACCACCCCCAATCTAGCATTTAGAACCCATTGAAGGGCGGTGGAGTAACGGTTTGGACAGTTATGTACACAGCTCGGTTTCAATCTGACACAAGGATCAGCGGACTTCATACGCTGGCCCCCTCGCAGACCAAGATACAAATCTCTGTCGGGAGTCCGAACGTCGCACTCGTGATATAAAAGGCTGTTGTGTCCCAATTTGTTGTCGCGTTTGGTTTGTGTGCATTTAGATCTTGCGTTTCCCAAACATCCAATCACAACGGTACTGTTACGCGTTGTGTGTACGGAGTTGGAGAGTGACTTGCTGCGTTGTTACGAGTTGCGCGTCGAACTTCGCGAGAAATGCAAAGCACTGTACGTGAATGCTCGCGACCACGAGTTTTTGTTTCGTGGGCTACGTGAATGGATTTAGTATGAAGCTGCCTTCAGACGCTGTCTTTCCGACAGACCTGTTCTTCACCTGAGGACGGCTGCTTGCGTTGTGGCCGAAACGTTGTGAAAATTGTATTTTATTATGTTTTATTTTTATTATTTTATTATTTCAATTCTACGTGACTTTACCGAAAGAACCAAGAAGCTGTTATAACGTTGTCGGTGATTCTGGGTGGAACAACAACGACAACATCGGTTTTCTCTTTGTTAAGCTCACGATGCATCGTGCACCAAATCGTGTTACTTTGCATCCCAAGTCCCAAAGTGTTGCACCGCATGATTTGACGTGTGACCCTGCGAGCACAGGAATGAGTTTTTGCAAGTGTTTTTAAAATAATAACAACGTACAAAACCATCGGTTCAGGTCTGTGTCATTATTTTTCATGGGGGAAAAAGGAGAAACGAACAAAAGGAAGGGAGACGCGGAGTGTTGCTCACCAGTTAGGACTACGAATTTCCACAAATGGAACATTTTATCTTTCACAAATGGAATATTTTTAAAATCTCTCTGATGTGTGGTCTCCCGGAACGGAACCGTAGAACATATAACGCAGGCTCGACGCCCGATTCACCAATACGAGTGACACCCCACTCCGTCACTCCTGACACAATCATCTGGCTCAAACACCTCAATGTACAATTACAGCTACTGCTCTACACCAACATTAGCCATACGATGAGGAAGGGCTACGATGTTGGAACAGAGAACACGATAGTAACGGAAATCAAGAAAAGCCATAATACAGGTTTTGTTGAGGTTAGATCGTGTAAATATAAATGTGTCGTTAAACCCGCCACCACCCGACACAGCCAACTAATAAGGTTTGTCACGTAAACAGAACATACCAATTCGTTACTAGTACAGCACACCGGTGTGTTGGAGAGCAAAGCCACAACATTTACAAACTGAGTACGACATTTCGCCGGTAATTACAACTAGCTTTATCAGGCGACAGCCAGATGAAAAACCCGTCCAGAGCTTTTCTACTTGAGCACATGCTCTCATGCAACGTTGGTTGATCCATATGGTCTTAGAGGCTGGTGGAATATAACAAACATATATTTTCTTATCCGTAAAGATTTGTCTCAATTCGATGTGGATAAGAGGACATCCGCAATATTTCACCCATCATATAAACGTCGTGCTGTTAGTGACAGACTATGCGTGCGACAGCAGGATAATGGGGGTTGCGAAGCATTGTCGCCAGACCGAGGGAAGTGAGACCGAGACGATTTAGCCACGTGGTGCGGAGTGGGGAGGGAAATGTAAGGAACAGAGTGTTTAACAGAGGTGAGAGGAAGGAGGGCAAGACAGACGATGAGATGGAGAGTGAAGATGAGATGAAGGATACAAAAAACAAAGGATGTGAAAGTGAATCGAGTCACAACAACAAGGGATGGGGGTTATGCCTTCCGCAGACAGGAATGGAGAGAGGGGCCGAGCCAATAGCAACGTCGGAACAGCGGCCATGAGAAGTAAGCATGCTGAGCTTAGACATTGGATTAAATTCTTTATTGGACACTGGATACAATAACATTTTTTGGAATAAGACTGTAGCGCCTGTTGTATGGGAATGATTAAAATATGATTTGATATGTTACGAGGTTACCTACTGCTTTTCGATTTAAAGCTTTCGTGACTGCAGGGATTTATCTTCTTGGTTCTTTCGGTAAAGTCACGTATTTTATTATTTCCATTCTACGTGACTTTACCGAAAGAACCAAGAAGATTACCTACTGCTCTTACAATACACTGTTACCATGAGTAAAATATGCATGCGTGGGAACGCAATCACTGTAACTGGGCCCAGTTAGATAACAATTTAAATACTTGTCTCGATCAGCGGTGGCCAATACGTTGATTGAGATCCACGGGTGGATTGCAGAACATGTGTTGTGCATCTCAGGACAAACCAGAACACTACCATAAGCAAACAACAATTTTCAGTACGGATGATAGCAAACAAACAAAAAATCCACTACTAAGGATTCATTGAAAGAATACAAGATAATAACGTCTACCAATAGATGGGTGCTAGTACTTAATGTGTTAAACTCTACAAGGGTAATTGTTGGTCGTAGCTTTCTGGTGGAATAGCAGAGCCCGTTGAGATCCGCCAGAGCGGATCGCACTGCTTGGCGGATTGGCCAACCTCTGCTTTAGAGTGAGACCATTTTTATGAAGAGTACCTGAAGGAGGTTGATTGTAATTCCAAAGAAGATTGGTTGTAATCTCAAAACAAAAATCCAATACATTTAAGAGAATGAGATTTGAAAAGCAGTCTGATTTCAATTAATTACACTGGTCAACAAAAAAAACATATTTTTTCTGGCCTGGACTTTTGCAGCTGTTTTAGACTAATTTCAGGGTGCTGATTTCAAATCTGATCTCAGATTTGCTCTATCACATCTCATTTTTATGCTATCGGCATACCCCATTTTCATTGATTTTACCAGAAATTAACTCTGTCACTCATGATTGCAAGTTGTTGCGAGTCAGTGACTGCTTTAGTGTTAAAATATGGTGCTGTATTTTTAGGATAGTGTGTTTATAATATCATTTTATGTAGATATCCACATTTATTTAATATTTTTCTTCTGCAGTTTATATTGAAAATGCAATATTTGATATCTCAAAAACCTGATTTGGAATCAGCACCCCAAAATTACCTTAAAACCGTTGGAATACCTTATGCCAGAAAAAGTGTATTGACCAGTGTTATCGATATAAATAATTATCCTGCCTGTTGCACCATCCTGCATTTGGTTACTCGAGAGCTAAATGCTTCCTGTCTATCAAACCCGAATATAATCGACTCTCGGTCATCTACAATAGTGCAAAACACACGTAAATTAGACTGTCAAAATATATTAATTGTTTAGCTACGTAGAATGGGCGGGGGGGAGGTGGAGTGGGATGGGGGGGGGGTAAGAACATTGAATGCGTCGTCTGTTTTCATCGCTTCCTAAAGATTGTTGGTTTTACTTGCCGTTGTTAAGCCGATCCCAGGGGCACAGAGTCACAGACCCCCAACGAGTGAGAAGCAACCAACAAAATGTGCCCACGTAAAATATTAAGATTTTTTCGCATGCACGGTTAATCTGGTTAATTGAATTTAACTGCATATGACATATGTTTTAGGGTAGTACATTCGTCGGGATGAGCAAATCATCCCTTACCACTAATTTGAATTTTAAAATCAAGCTGATCATTTCTTCAATCAGTGGATGCTTGATTAGTGCCTGGAAACGAACAGGCTCTAGGTCTTCCGATCCCAGATCTCGGAACACCTGAACGATGTGTTCCTGAAACGATAAACGGTTTTAAGTAAGCGGCGTAAATGGCTAACACATAAATAACATTAGCGGTACACGCTGCACATGTTACAGTAAATCTGGCAAATGTCTGTTGCGATGTCCTGCAGCTCTTGCGAGAAATAGGTGATTTTGTTGCCAGTTTAAAATCGTCTGGCAGAGGAGCAGGCGCGGCATATGAGCAGGAGACAGGACCAACATAAGAGAGAGCGACGAGGCCACTCACCTTGCATGCGGCACGAGCGATTCAGTGGGTATGGCTATGTAAAAGTACAGGGACTCCCCTACTTACGAACGTCCGACTTACGAACTTTCAGAGATACGGAGAAACCTGTCCGCATTTCCAGTTATCTGTTCGGACTGATAGTCGTAAGTTCAACCACCGTGCAATAGATGGCGGAGGTGGCATCTACTTCTGCAGAACGTGAAGAACCAGTGTCATCTACATCTACAGGAGATTATACAACTTTAAAGCCATTCCCCGTGTTTAGTGTACATGCCGTACAAAACGTTCTGAATTGACAGGAATAGAGTTAGACTTACGAACAGATTGACTTATGAACAGACCTCTGGAACCTAACTCGTTCGTAAGTAGAGGAGTCCCTGTAGGTGGGACTGACGAAGACAGGAGGGGCTAGCAGCTCACCGTGTGTCTCGGTTGAGCCTCCCAGAAACTCGCTGGCTTCAACTGTAAGTGTCGCGCGGGAGGCACGCGACGGATCCACTCCGTGCATCGTTAACAAGTCCACAACAATCCTAAACACGCGTCGCTGACGCCCGGCGAGCGAGTTGTGACGATACCTCGAGGTACGGGTGTGCACGCGTCTCGTTCGGGTGGCTGAAGCGATGGGTGTCCTCGGCAATTGCCCCGGCATGGTGGAGGACCGTGAGCAAAGCGTCCAGAGAGACAGATTCCAAAGGCCCAGAATCCAGACCCTCTGTCTGTGAGAACCCGGCAACACACAGCTCTCGAAAAGGGTAATGCGTGCACGTAATTAGACATGCACAGCCCTGTGTCAATCCGCACCCTGAGGGTCATGGGGATTATATCACCGTACTTCACCACTGCTGGATAGTGCGGATTGGTCAAGTTAGGCAGCATAGAAGTACAATACAACGGATATTTCTGTACTGCCTTCCCTCTGCTCTCCACCATGTAGCCCCGGAGCCTTTAACAACAACAACAGTCTGTTCTGGGCAGCTATTACAACCTGTTAATGCATAATGGTCACCCGTCCAGCCAACATGCAGGGTCAAACCCGCTTAGCTTCCAAGATCTTTCGACATCAGGAGCATTGCGGGTCGGAGTCTATGCGCATCACATCCACGCACACACATCCTTTGCATCTTGTAGACAACCGTCATTGGAATATGGGGCCACATTGCAAATACATAGTGCACTGATAAATCGACCCGAGCCATTGCGATGGCAACACATTACCTGGGGAGGGGGAGTAGATGGATCCCCAGGCAAAGCCATTGCTGCTGCTGCCGCCGCCACACTCAGTGCTCGATAGAAGCCATCCTGTCCATCTTCACCACAGGCCAAGTACAGCAACATGCTCTTGTAGTCTATCTTCTCCCCTTGTCCGAGCAAGGTAAAGAGGGCCTATACACGCACGCACCACCCAGAACAGATTGCTTGTATGCATGTTGAACTTATTTCGCTGATCGGAGCTACGGAGGAAGGATAACATACTAAAGACAAAGGAAGGAAGAGCATTCCAGAGGGCCACAGAAGCGCATTTAAACGCGTGCGATGCATTGGCCGTCTTTGTTCGACGGCTAGCCAAAAGCCTCTGGGAAGATAACAGGAGTTTGCGTGATGATGTATGGCTCCTTGACGAGATCAGCAAGGTATTGTGGTTCAATTGTGGCAAGCACTTCACTTTATAGAACCTACAGACTGTTACGCAGAAGGCACAGAGCGAATGAGACTATGGGGTTTTAAAGTGAGTTTAAAGCAAAATAGATTAAATGGAAATGGGCAGGACATGTTGACGAGAGCATCTGAAGAGAGATGAGAGAGAACATGAAAGAGGCCGAGGGAAGGGAAGAGAAGCAGTGGAATGGATTTAAAACACGCAAAATCGTTGAAAGCACTCGACCTTTGTGCATTCTGCAAAATACTGTCAGGATTTCCTGAAGAAGAGCATTGTGAGCCTGACAAAGGCTGAGTGCTCTTTACACGTTTCTGTGTTTTTTGGTGTTCTTGTTGTTGTTTGAAACTCGTGGTTTTCTGGCCTGAATGATTGTTCTCTTATGACAGGTTTCTCTAAGTCATTTACAAAAATCTAAGATTTCGGAGGCCACTAATGGACAGAAGCAACTCAGTAAATGACGGACTGGAAGAAAATAGGGGAGGCATTTACGCAGCAGTGGAAAGTACCACGATGACAATAATCATTTCGTATAATAATGTACCTGTTTCAGATTCCCCAGCCGATCATATAAGTCACACGTATTTTCTGTTGGCACAGCATCTTTAAACCACAGTTCGATCTGTGGGGCAACACACCAACAATTTTACTCCTGACATTCAATAATAGTATTATTGTTAACAGCATATTTTCAGGTAACAATTGAACTTAGCAATACCATAAAAATGCAAAGTGTTAGTCTCACGAACTAACTATAACTAGTTTTATTTCGATTTAAAGCTTTCGTGACTGCAGGGATTCATATTCTTGGTTCTTTCGGTAAAGTCACGTAGAAGGGAAATAATAAAATAATATTATGATGATGATTGCTCGTGTTGCAGTCGAAACGTCGTGAGAATTTTTATTGTTTTATATTAATATTATGTTATTATTTCCCTTCTACATGACTTTATCGAAAGAACCAAGAATATAGTTTTATTTTACCAGGAAAGGCCCACTGAGCTATATAGCTCTTTTTCAGAAGCGACCTGGCCACAAATGATTGCTCAACGAAGTGGTTTATGTGGAAATTTATAGCAGTCAAATACTCTAAATGTATGTTGATTCAAAATGTGGAGGGAAAAACCGGAGGACCCAGAGAAAAATCCACGCGACCACGGGGAGAACATGAAAATTCCAAATATACAGGCGTCAGGGTCACGATCGAACCCACGACCTCATGTATACCAGGCGAGGTAGTTAACATCTCGCCACTATGGCACCCACAAATCATAAATACATTTCAATTGTTTTCATGCTACACACAAGCAAAACAACTCTGATATATGTGGCAAACGGTATCTCTGCTCACATTACTCCGAAGATACGCTGTACTCTGCCAATCTTTTGAAGCGGGGAGGGGGGGCGGTGGGCATTTGGAGAGTGAACGAGAAGAGTGGGTCGAGACGTGGCAAGAAATAGGGGACAACAGAGGAGCACATGCCTGGTCGTACTGCTCCTGAGACAAGAAGCCGGAGCTTTCAGGGTCGGCTTTCCGGCAGGCTGCCAGCACCGCCAGCAGCTGGGTCACCGAGGGCAGTGGCCAGGGCCAGGCCGCCAGCACCAGCAGCCTGCGCCAGTCCAACAGCTCCACGCCGCCTTGCACTTGGTGTGCGATCGCCGCAATCTGAACACGCCGCAACCGCAAACAGAATCAGAATACTGTATATTCTTTGGGTCTTACGGTAAAGTCGTGGAGCTAGAAAAAATAATAACAATCAAATAATAAAAATAAAGTGAATTAAAAAAAATTTACCCGTAAAAACTAAGTTTTGCACTATAAATCCTTTATATGCGTGGCGGCTAGAGTCCTCTCGTCCTCTGGCTTGAGATGGCTGCCACCTATGGGTCAGATGATTGCCTGCCACCATTAAGCAGTTGGTAATTAAATATTTAAAAAAAATTCCTAAAAAGTGTAAAATTTTGGAAAAAAAATTTCACGATAAAAAATTGTCACGCACAACGAGTCTGTGTGCGAAATGTCAGCTCGATTGGATCACGGGAAGTGGGTTAAAAAACGACCGAAAGATTTGCACGGTCGTAAGAGCGCAAGCAAGCACGCAAGTGAACTTAATATAAAGGATTTAATAATCAAAAATATCACGACGTTTCGATCACAACACAAGCAATCGTTATGAGGAGACGATTGCCTGTGTTGCGATCAAAACGTCGTGATATTTTTATTATTTTTTTATTCACTTTATTTTTATTATTTTTATTGTTATTATTTTTTCTTCTATCTAAGTGGCTTTACCGAAAGACCCAAAGAATATGAATTCCTGCAGTCACGAAAGCTTTAAGTCAAGATTTAGAATCAAAATATGTATTTATACTGGAGGAATCCAATTAGCTATCAAGTTCTTTTTCACAAATGTCCAGTAGGGGCGGGTCAGAAAGTTACAACAACAAACAATACAAAAACACGATATGAGTGCAAATTATAGGAAATGCAAGCAATTCACAAACAAACAATTAAAAGTTAAATTTACCATTTTTATTTCAACAGGTAAAGCCCACTGAGCAATTTGCTTCATTTTCAGAAGCGACCTGGCCACAAATGATAGCTTAAAGAAGTGGCTTATCACTTAGAAATGTATAGCACACAACCACGCACAGCACAAAGGGACGGTGACGCTGCCCAGCGGTTGCGCGTTCCCCCCGCTTGCTGTTGAGGAGGTTCGCGGTTCGAAGTACAGCGGCCACCCTGATTAATGCTGCGAGTGTAATAACCGTCGTGATACTACGGGGGCCATCTGCTTCACAGTGGGCGTTAAAGATTCCGTCATATCGTCCGCAAGAGTAGGCCATTGCTGGTGCCATGCTCCAAATTGATCAAATGTAAAAAAATACCCATAAATTATATAATTGGAATTTACATCTTCGCAGGACCCTCCTGAAATAGAGTCCTTGAGACTCGGTGAGGCTCTCCTGGGCGAAACAATCTCTTGGTGGCGAACGGCGGTTATTGTCGTCATCTTTGCATCCCATCTCTTGCAGAATGGCCGAGGCAAATCTCAACAAGTGTATGAATAAATAAATTAATACTTAAATACACTTTACTGCATTGCTCTTGTCATTTGGCTTCAGTCCTCAGAGCCTGCACAGAACCAAACTGAATGTAATGGGCTTTTTGTGCAGCCTTTGGTGGCTGGGCTGAGACCACCAACTCTATAGAATTGAGAATCAGGTTTAATCACAGGCATGAGAAACCAGGATTCGAACCCAGGATCTCAACGGTGCCAGCCACTCGGCCACATCCACAACTTGTATATATATATCGTGAGTGTCTGAATGAGACCAGGTCTCGACTCACCTGTGTGTGCGACATGTTTAGCCAGGCCTCTGGCAGAGATTCACTCCCTGTACCACCAGAACCCAGAGCATGCAGGAAGTCGATGAAATCTAAAGTGGAAATATATCCTGTACCAAAAGATGGGGTTCGTTGTTATGATTAATATTTATAGCTAAATATGCATGAGAGTTAACGTGACAGATGTTGTATCTATATCTTCCAAAGGCCTACCCGTCTTCATATATTCACAAGTTGGTCAACTGCACTCAATACAGATTCTCATCACCCGATTTACCATCACTGACCACCAAAACTCACCATACATTTTCCATTATATTTCTGGAGCCCCCCACGATTATTACATTGCAGGACCCCGTGAGAGATTTTTAGGACTTGGGGAGACCTTTACCCAGCAGTGGATCCATCAAGCCTGATGATGATCACGATGATGATAACCTAAAATGATCGAACTCCGGTCTGGTTTAGTTTGGGACGTGGTCAGAAGGTTTGTTCCAGTGAGGGTTCAGGCAGTGGTACAACTATTGAGTATATAGGTGGTGCAACTGCACCAGAGCCCACAGGCTTCAGGTGCATAGGTGCCGGGCCGCGAAGAGGGGTGGGGGGGAAGGTGGACAGTGTGGTGGCCCCATTTCATTCCTTTCCCTAAGGGCATGCCAATCACGCTACACCACTGGGTTTCGGGTAAGACAAAGATCCCCCATATAATGGAAATAATAAAATAATAAAAATAAAACATAATAAAATAATTCTCACGACGTTTCGGCCACAACGCAAGCGGCCGTCCTCAGGTGAAGAACAGGTCTGTCGAGAGACCCTATTATTTCCATTCTACGTGACTTTACCGAAAGAACCAAGAAGATGGATCCCCATATAGCCTTAACAGACTGTAGGAGCAAGTGCACACACACATACGCAGTGAGCAAGCAGCACCTACCTGCAGGCGCAGCCTCTAGCAGGTGCCGATGGAAGGACATCAGCTGCTCCACAGTGAAGTGCTGGGGGTGGAGAGGCTCGGAGGGCTGCGGGGGGGCGGGGGGAGGAGGCTCCTCGTACATGCGCGCCTCTGTGCTTAGGTAGAAGGAGTCCTGCTGCAGCACCAGCTCAGGCTGCAGCGGAGTCCCCGACTCCACGGCGCCTTGAATCACATCCAGCAGCTGCTCAATGCTGGACAAGTGCGGCACACATGTTGCCGCGTCATCGCGCGCAGCGCATACGTTACCACCACGCGTGTCGGGAAACGTCCAGACTCTCACAGAGAGAGAGACAACGATCCCCCGTATAGCTTACACAGACTCTAAGCTGCCGGACCGCCATTAGCGAGAAACATAATGTAGCCATATGGCACACAAGCGGGTGGTGTGGCCAGGACCACACCTGGGTGCCTTTGTCCCCCCAATGCTGATGTAGCTATGTCTGGTTCAGTTAATCGCCACTGATATTAACTGCGGCCAGGAAGCGACCTCAGGTCGCCGGTGTCGTATAGCACTGTAGATTGACTTTCATAGCCACTCGCTAACGGACGCCTGCCGCCAAAAGCCTATGCAGGCCGCAGGAAGACTCGTTGTCTTGTGGCTGGTACAACACCTGTGCATCTCGGCGTGGTAGCGTTGGCCCAGCGAGTCCTGCATGGCCTGGTACGCCTCCGCACTCGCCGCGCGGAGGGCCCCGATTGCCGAGAGAGCTTGCTCCTTCACCGTGTCCAGTCGCTGTCTCAGGCAGGTTTCTATAGGCCCCGTACACAAGGGCAGAGACCACAGCTCACTTGTGTTATGCTCCAAAGCATTTCGTGAAAGCAATACAATTCACACACAAAAGTTACTCTTCTCTGACCACCTCAGGATCGTTATTATCTTCACGGTTATTAACGTCACGAATAATGCCGTTGTCTGTATAGTTGTCATAGCGATGTGTTGGAATTGAAGCTGGGCTGTAATCCAATTATTTAAGTCATCAGATGGGCCAACTGCAGCTCCCTTGCCACAGTGAGGTTGCTGTGGCAATCCGGGCTGAGCCCGCTGGCTTATTTCGTGAACCGGAATGGCCTTCTTCTCAGTGGCCAAGGCAATGAGCAATGAGCTTTAAAAAGTCCTCGTGGTCAAGTGATGTAGCGTTCAAGTGTGCAGGTGGTACAACTGCACCAGGGCCCACAGGACAGGGGTTCCCAGGTTCCCGGCTACGAAGAGCGGTGGGGGGGGGGGGGGAGGGTTGGACAGGGGCTCCCCATTTTACTGGACATCTGTGAAAAAGAGCTTCATAACTCATCGGATTCCTCCAGTCAAAATAAAGATTCTGAATAATTAAATTCTTTGCACTAAGGGGCTCATGCCTACAACACTAGGCCACTGTTGTGGTCCCTACAATTAATGCAATGTGAATGTGCCCCTCACAGTGGGGCAGTATTGCTGTGCTTCAAGCCTCACCCTCATGCTTTAAGGCACAAGCATGCTCCTGATGCATCTTGGCTTTGCGCTCCTTCTGTGCCACCACTTCAGGGTCCACTTCCTCCACTTGCATTGGCACACTGGGGCTGGGCGCTCCTGCACTCCTCAAGTACAAGTTTGGAACAACATCAATTCACTTATAATAGTTATAAAGTAAATAAATAAATACATGCCATAGCCCTTTGTCAATCCACTGCTGGATGAGGGCATATTCATACCATGCGCGTCGTGAGTGTTTTTTGACCATGCATCACCACACTAGCAAGTGCGAGTCGGTGAAGTTGGTGTCCAGGACTCGTCGAGATATCGCTCACCACTGATGTTAGCCGTGGCAGGGGATGCAACCAAGGTGTACACACGGGTTTATAGCACAGAGCAATAACCACTGTGCCACTGCACCAGTTGAAGAAATTTTAATCGATAGATTATACTTACCGTCTTGGAAAACTTAATAATGTCAAAAAATCCACCTCTGTATAGAAACGCAAGAAGAGGTTCCCTCCCTACTGGTAGAATCGAATCATCCCCAGCGGTCGAAATTGTCCGATAAACGACGTTACGCCGTACCGGCACTTCTCACAACACCACGCATGTAAAACACCGGTACTTTTCAGAACGGTTCCCGTTGCTGTGTTGCGATGTTTCCGCAGAGAGGAAATGAGCACGCATGATGGGTCGCTGCAGGACGAAGAGGTTTCATACCGGCAACTTATTTTTAGAAGTACACGTCTAGCTTAACGATCTATATATGTTTCGATTTAAAGCTTTCGTGACTGCAGGGATTCATCTTCTTGGTTCTTCGGTAAAGTCACGTAGAATGGAAATAATAAAGAATAATAAATAATAATAAAATGGCCCTTTTATTTTATTATTTCCATTCTACGTGACTTTAACGAAAGAACCAAGAAGATCTATATATGAATCCAAAGCAATGCATAATCTTTATTCTACTCAGCATATGGGTGTAAAAGAGATGAATTAACATTATCCACCCATTCTGAGTATAGTTATAGCTTCTCAAAGTGATGATCTTACCCTTTTTTTTCCCAGATCCTTTTGGCTCCTTCTTCTTGGCAATCTTAGAACCTTTCGCTTTGCCAGAGGTGGGTTTTCGACTTGCAGATGCTGCCCTTTCTCCATCGTTTTGTTCATCGTCTCTACCATTCTGCTCCAACACTGCCAGCTCCTCAGAAACCTTCCACAGGCATCCCCAGCAGCAGCAAAACAACGTAATATTAATATGGGACCTATGTATACGGAAACAGCCTAACAAAATATTGTGTTTTTGGTGTATGCCGCATGTTGTTTAGCATGATGTCGTAATGACAGGAGCTAGACAAGTCGGGCCTGGACCTCGGTGGAATATAAGAGGGCCGGTGAACTGTTTATAGCTCCAGTCTTGTATGTATACTGAACTTCGTATGCATGTTGAACATCTTTGCAACGTACATAGCCAACTGTGATAATCGGACATATTATCATGTCGAACAACACGCGATACAACCCAAGAACACATCAGAGAGCTATGCAGCGCAATGCCTTGATCATGCGGTCCGTCGTACCATCAGGGCGGCCACAGCCAGCGCGGCTTGCGAGGCCTCTTGGATGATCTCCTGGGAGGCGTGCGACGTTGGCGATTCTGCCGACAGCGCATCGCTCTTGTCGCGCCCGCCCCTGCCGCGCGACACTCTCTCTCGGCTGCTCGGGCTGCCGGGCCCGGTGACCGTCGCGTCCGCCCCCGACTTCCCGGGGGCGGCACGCGACGCTTTCTCCTCGTCTGCTGCCGGAGCCAGCGGGGGCGGCGGAAGCAGGGGGAGGCGGAATGCCTCGCGCTCCCCTCCCAGCCCACCGGCTCCCACCCGGCCCTGAATGCCCACGTAGTAGTCCCGCAAGAACAGAACCGCGTCCTGCCAGCGCTCCATTTCCACCTGAATGCAACGTAATGCCGCACATTGTACATCAGTGTATGTTACCCGCAAGTACAACTTTCCAGCCTGCTCTCATGTAAATCTTTATTGAACCACTATGTGCAGATCGGCATTCAATAACTACCCTAGGTATACACTAAATTTGGCAAATTAGTAAAATTACATACAAATTAACTTGATTAGAATCTACTGTGCGAGGCAATCATCACCCCCGACTGCGAAAATAGGCAGGACCCTCCTGAAAAAGAGTCATGAGACTCAGTGAGGCTTTCCTGGGTAAACAAGCGGAATAACAATGATATTCTACTGTGCTTTGCATATGAGTCCCTCCTAAAGATTGTTTAAATAGTTGTAGATGTAGATGCAAAAACAACACCAATTTGTGTGAAGAATAACTTTTAAAAAAATGTTGCTTCTTGTACTCGAATTGTACATTTTGTGGGTTTACTGTTGTGGTGGTAGGTTTAACGACGCATTTACGCGATCTAACCCAAAAACCTCGATTATGCATTTATTCTTACCTGCTACGACATATGGATCACAAACGTTGGCACTGACAAGCACGTAGAACAAAGGGTGGAAAGGATGTGTGCTTGGAATTACACCGAGAGACAGGATGAGGAATACGAGGATCAGAAATCATACGCAAGCGAGATCAATCTTATTGCTAATTGAGAGGAGTATTTGGGCTTGGGCAAGACACTTCAATGGGAGGGATGACGGGCAGTAGTGGAGACTAACGATCGAGTGGCAGCCAATGGAGGGGACATTCGCCACGGAGATGGAGCGATAAAATCAGATCGTGTTACAGGGACGAGATGGATTGTTGCGAAGCGAGACTGAGAGAGATGGCAACGGCTTTGCCAGGCCTTCATCCGGCATCGGCGAGACGATGGCTGTTGACGATAATGACAGTGGTGTATTGTTTAGCGTCAATATACTAAATGCCTCTGTTGATATGTAAACTCTGACTTTAACATAGCCACTTCCGTGACCAGTTACATGCTAATTCCTCACATTAACATCATGCTAATCAAATTTCGATTTAAAGCTTTCGTGACTGCAGGGATTCATCTTCTTGGTTCTTTCGGTAAAGTCACGTAGAAGGGAAATAATAAAATAATAAAACATAATAAAATACAATTCTCACGACGTTTCGGCCACAACGCAAGCAGCCGTCCTCAGGTGAAGAACAGGTCTGTCGGAAAGACAGCATCTGAATGATAGGGGTTGGGATAGTGATAGGGGTAGTGATGGGGGTTGTGGTAGTGACAGGAGTTGGGGTAGTGATAGGGGTTGGGGTAGTGATAGGGGTTGGGATAGTGATAGTGATAATGATGGGGTTTGTGGTAGTGATAGCGGTTGGGGTAAGTCACATCTAGTTGGCCGGGCCTAGGAGAAGCAGTAGCAGGATGGGCTCGGGAGAAGCGATGGGGGTTGTTTTAAGAGAGGGACAGAAGCAGGAGAGTGAAGGTGAAAGTGTCACGTGCTGCAGTGGGAGTTTGTAGTTGGTGCAGGGCGAGGGAGGCACAGAGATGGACAGTCGAGATGGAGGGCGTAGAGGACGGGATGGGTGGCGAACCTGCATGAGTGCGATGTGGTGGTTGGCGAATGCAGCGAGCCGTGCATTGAGCCAGCCGTCGTGCATCACAGACAGCAGCTCCCTCTCCGCCTCCTCCTTCCGCCCATCGGTGATGTCCCACAACTTCTCCTTCAGATCCTGCACGAGTCGATCACGTTCGCACGCACATGTATTAACTCAAAACACTGCCAGGCCAATGTTTTTATAAAAAGAAAACACAATGTGGTCATCTGCGGTAATATTAACATCGCTTGAAAGATCATCAAACCTACGACAAAATCACACGGTATGCGCCCAATTTTGTCAGATCTTGGATGCTAAGCAGGGTTGAGTCTGGTTAGTGCTTAGATGGGCGACCATCTGCTGCGGGGCTGTGGTGTGTAGCGGAAGGCAGTGCAGCAAAATCCATTGTCGTACTGTACTTTCTATGCTCCCTCGTCTATTCTCTCCGCCTTCACCAATACGCACTGAACAGTGTGGCGAAGTAGGGTCAAACAGGCCCCATGAATCCCATGGCATGGGGAGGCACCTCATCCAACAGTGGATCGGCAAAAGGGAAATACATATATTATTGATATTGTAAAAACCGAAAACAACAGACCACTTACCTGACATGGTGTGTGTGCAGGCGCGGACACTTAGGAAGTAAATCAAGGCCTCTGAAAGATTGGCTGGAGGCAGAAATTGAAGTGATTGGAGGAGAAATACAAACTTAAAAGGTGGGAAACGAGGGTTGACTGACGGGGGAACGGTTGACGACCGTCGGAGAAGGAGGACGGGAATTGGCTGAGGGAAATAGGGTGAGCAAACCTTCGAGAAAGGGGGCTCGAGGGATATAAAAGGGGATAGCACAAGGGGAAGGGCTTCAAGAAGAATGTTCATGTCCACAATCAAGGCTCTTAGTAAAGCGAAGAATGTGTGGCGGTGGTCGTTGCAATATTGTTGCGTTGTAAACATTTAGGAGTAGACTTCTTGACATGGCCCAACCCTGGCTGATCGCGGTGTTTGGAGGCGTCCTACCTGTGCGCGCTGATGCATCTCTGCTCGTGTGTCATCATCGCCCCTCAGGTAGCCTGGCAGCTCATTCAGCTCAATCTGCCAGCGCTGTACAAACTCCTGCTTGTGGTCGGGTCTCCGCAGAAACTCCACAAACTCCTGCCTGCACACGATTGCGTGCAGAAAACAGCGTACGCCACATGACACAATGTAAAGATGCCTCTCACTTTAAGTACCATCATTGCCAACCGTGATCTACTGATCTACCCACTGACGGATGAGGCCCTCCCCCAAGCCATCGCCGTCTCTCCCGTGTAGCGGGATGCAACGATTCACCTAGTCCCTGCACACGACTCAATTTCAAGCGTGGTGTTGAATAACCCCCCATGACATGGAGAGGTCCTCATCCAGCAGTGGTTCAACAAGGGACTCTACATGGACATGTACACATAACACAAAAATATTAATTACATGAAAGTGAAACCAAAAGTGAGATTCTATTCTAGATTTGAAGCTTTCATGACTGCAAGGATTCACATTCTGATAAGCTCCCCCCTCTCCTCCCCCTTAACTTGTATTTAAGAACTTGCATCTTGGAATCCCTGCCTCACATGATACAGCAAATCTGGCTGTGACGGTCCCACCTGATGACGGAGACTTGTGTTGCCTCCGAAACGTCGTGATTTTTTATTATTTAATTTGTATTAATTTTTATTTCATTTTTTACCTACGTGACTTTACCGAAAAAACTAAGAGTATGAGATGGCAGTATGTTCGGGAGCTAACTGCCGACGTCGAGGTCTGCTCGCCACGAGAGGGCTTCGGGAGAGATGTTGCCTAGTGTTGCTATTCCTCTTCCATTGAAGGAGAGCAGACTACAGTGGTTTACTACGTGGTCCGTAGTTTGGGTTGCATGGCCACAGTCGCACTCCTGTGGCTCGTGCCTTTAATTCACATCTTTGGAGATGTGTGCATCGGCCTGTTGATGGTCTGATGTGATTGATGGTGAGACCAATATCTTCGAGGAGGAATGATCAAAGCCAGGAGGGGTGAGGTTTGCGTCGCGAACGAGGAGTGAGATTGACCGATTTGACGCCGCTTCCTTTTTGCCAAAATGCATCGTGGGTGCGTGAAAGTGCAGAGACACACCTGATATCGTAAAGATGGTGCATGATGGCTTCTCTTTCCCGCCTTAAATTGTGAAACACCGTTTTGCAGTTGGAAATGTACGTCCGCTCCATGTTGTCCCAAAAACCACCGAGATAAGTGGCCATCTCCTACACAAAGGAAGGGCGGACATTGGTGCATGTGAAGCATTGTATGGAGTGTTGCCGCTAGGCATAAGGTAAACCAAGTAAAAGTTTAGGCCCCAAATCGTTCAAGGGGCCTCTAATTCATGAAATAAATTAGGGTGCACCAATTATCAGCGAGATCTCAGATCCTTATAAAAAATATAAAAACAGCTCATAATGCTAACGACAATATTGAAAAATTCTTATTGCAATTAAATTATTACCTTATTTATTTTGAACAATTGTGATATCTTTACGTGGCTTGTCCATCCTATAATGTTGTTAGTCAGACAACGCACCCAAAAATAACTTCTGCTTCGGGAACTCAGCGGGCAGGGGCCTCCGCTGACTGTATGTATGGATGTGTAGTCACATAGAATCGGTCACGTAGCAGCATAGCGCTGGCTGCTGGCAGGGAAGAGGATCTGCAGCTTACAGCAGCCCTGACTGACAGCAGGCCACGTGATAGACCAGAGAGGGATCTAGGGGAAAGGCCACGGAAGGGGCACATCGAGAACCCGCTGGTAGGTTCCAGAAGGGGGCGTGGCCAGGAGCGGAGCCAGGCCACGCTGGCAGTATAAGAGGGGCCCCCCCCCCGGGAGGAGACCTCGGGGCTGTCGTTTGGAGTGGGATCCTGTCGTGCTGCTGGAGTCTTCGCCGTCGTCACCGTCTTCACCATCTCGGCGTCGCCAGTCAGGCAGTCTAACAGCTGTCCTGACTGGAAACTGTAGTTACTAAGTGTTACTGTCAGGCCGTGTTAATAAACACAGTGCCTCCTACTCTTAGTGTCTCTGAGTCACTACATATGTATGCTGAACTTCTTTCGCACTGTACGTAACCGACCGTGCTAACCGGAGGTGCAGACTGCAGGTAGCATGGCGATACAAACCCCGTATGTTTACAAATTATATCCCGTTCGCAAATGCTTCCCCTTGGCTTTAGACGTAATGTGTTGATAACAATGTGTCCAGATACCAGAGTCAGGGGCTGGTCCACATACTCCCACTCAGAGCTCCCAGGTGTTGGGCCTGGTGGGACGGTCTCGACTGCGATGGGCTCCGGAATGGCTTGCTCCTTCCCGCCACCCTTCGCTTTGCCTAAACGTTCACGTGGCATAGTTTAACAAGTCAGACACAGATTCAGGACAAACGTACGATGTAACTCAGGGGTGGGGAACCTTTTCTCTGCCAAGGGCCATTTGGATATTTATAACATCATTCGTGGGCCATACAAAATTATCAACTTAAAATTAGCGTGTTATATTTGATCAAACATTTAATTAACTCACCCCTAATGTGATCGCTAGAACTGCTTCTCTTTGGCGAGGCGTGTGATGTTAGCTGGTATTGATGATGTTGCTACTCGCAACTGCTTTTCCAAGTTGCTCCTAGATTTATTGAATTTCGAGTCCTGCCTGCGGTTGCCTTGGCAGGGCCAAACAAAATTATTTTGTGGGCCTTATACGGCCCACGGGCCGGACGTTCCCCAACCCTGATATTGCAATTGGTATTAGCCAAACATCCCAATGCTGAAAGATTGCCATTACACACATCAGCAGCAACATCGCCCCCTACTGCTAAAACTTGCTAGGACCATCCTGAAAAAGAGTTGGGACTCAGTCTTTCCTGGGTAAATAACCGCAATCATAATAATAAAACAATACATGCATTTATAATAATCACGTTTATCAGCCGTAATAAAACCACTGCTGGATTAAGGCCTTCTCAAACCGTCGCCATCTGCCATGGTCCTGCACTGCAAAAATCCATATAGCACCAGCACAACAGCTGATTTCATCTCTTGATGTCTCCTATGGACATAATCTCAGTCATATAGGGGTGAAGAGAAGGCGCGGTGGTTTGCGCACTGCGCTAGGAAATCCTACAACCTGAGTTCAATTCCTAGCCATGGCTAACACTGGTGGGGAGTGATATCTGAACCGGATCTTGGGGTACTCCCCTCCATGTCTTAGCAGGGGCGCCACGGCAGCGCGATGTTAACTACCTCACCTGGCATACAGGAGGTCGTGGGTTTGATCTCGACCCTGACGCCTATATATTTGGAGTTTGCATGTCTCTCTCCCCGTGGACGCGTGGATCCTTCTCCAGGTCCTCCGGTTTTTCTCTTTCAAATTCATGAACGTGCGCTTAAGAGTATTTGGCTGCTATACATTTCCACGTGATAAGCCGCTTTGTTGAGCGATTATTTGTGGCCAGGTCGCTTCTGAAAAAAGAGCTACGTAACTCAGTGGGTCTTACCTGGAAAAATAAAAAATAGTTCAATAATTTCTAAATAACAAATTGTTTCGTAATTTATAAATATTTGCTTTAATATATATAGTTTATCAATGAGAAAACAACTACGGGCCAAATAACTCCCATAACAGATTCGGCGTGGGGAGGCCTTCATTAGGGGAAGCAAAGGAACAGCACCCACCAGAGCGAGGGGGAGATTTCCCTTTCTTCTCCTTGCTCTTCGCCCGTTCCTTCTTGTCCGCTGATGCCGGGGACTTTGATGTTCTTCTCCGTGAGCCTGCGAAGCCATTGAGTATTCCAAACCATCGTTTCCGTATTTACAAATTCACGAGCGATAATTTACCAGCCTGTGTCAGACTAAACAAAGGATCCATTTGCACGAAATATATCTTCACCGTGACCTTGTCCGTGCACGTGTTTCGTAAGGATCTGGCGTTAAGTGCTATGACGTCATCCCGGCGTCAAACAGCCCTATAGGTGTGTGAGATACTGCACATGACGGACAAACACTTGCACATTATACGAGAGTAATGATCGTTTTAATGTCACCCTTAGGCAGAGCCAACATGTCACCGCAGTGATTAGGGAGTGCTTGTTCGCATTAAGCCCCTGAACCACAAGGCACCAGGAGGCAATAATGACTACACTGAACTGATTGTTCCTTACAAGGATGAGTGCGTTATGCATAAGGTTGTCCAATTTTCCTGCTGCTGTCTAAAATATTATGACCATAATTTTGACTCTTGAGTTGGTGATCTAAAACAAGACTCAAATTATTCTCGCTATATGCTGATGTCACGTGATACGCAAGGTATGATGGGAGGATCAATCCGATGGTCACAAACCTCTATCTTCCAGTAACATACGCTCTATACATCCAAATGGTACATAAGGCAATTGGAGGGTAACTATTGTTTGAAACTTTGCACAGCACACCTTGTGACAGATTACAACGAATTTCCATACATTACAAAGCACACGTGAACATATTTGAGCGCTATAAGTGAATGCGGGCGTTGAAGGGAGCTGTACAGTTGTACAATTGAAGATGATGGCAGCTCTGCCACCCACCTTTAGGGGATCGGCCTGGAGAGGCGCCCTTCTGCTGGGAGCTCATGGTTGGTGTGCTTGGTACTTCCCCAAGCATGCTAGGAATCTCTTCTTCTTGTGGTTGGTCACTGTCGACCATAGGAGGCTCTTGGATAATGGCTGCTGTGTTATCCTCCAACAAAGGCTCCTCTATGCACACAATCAGGCAGAAGGAATTCAAAAAGGGCGTCAAGATCCAATAATTAACTGAACCATTAATATACATTCTCAAGCTCACGGTACATGTGCAGTGTTCAACACGGAGGCACACACTCTGGACTGGGAGGCAACACTTTTATTTAACAACTTCCCTAGCGGGTAAAACTGAACCTAACTCGGGTTCTATAGTAGGTGATATGGCTAACTATGAGAGTAGCGAGTTAACTCTAAACGAAGACCTGGAGACGACAAAACATGGGACCCAGGCTTGATTCCACAGACGAGCCCAGAACACTCCCGGGACTGCCCCTTCATGCTCCTCCCCCTTCGAGATCTTTCCTGAAGGATCCCGACCGAGCATCACGTGCCCCACTCACGCTACCACGTCCTCCCTTGCCCTGTCTCAGGCCATCACCAGGACTAAGCCCCCCAGGGCTGGCTGACATGCCGTACTTACTCTGGTGCTAGAGAGAGGCTCCAGACGCACAGTTGCACTACTGTAACAGTAGCTGGCGCGAACACCCGAGTGACACCATTTATCTTCTTGGTTCTTTCGGTAAAGTCACGTAGAATGGAAATAATACGCAAGCAGCCGTCCTCAGGTGGAGAACAGGTCTGCCTGTTCTCCACCTGAGGATGGCTGCTTGCGTTGTGGCCGAAACGTCGTGAGAATTATTTTATTATGTTTTATTTTAATTATTTTATTATGTTTTATTTTTATTATTTTATTATTTCCATTCTACGTGACTTTACCGAAAGAACCAAGAAGATGAATCCTTGCAGTCACGAAAGCTTTAAATCGAAAAAGACACCATTTATGTCACTACACATGTATCGAATCCCATGCAGGCCTTGCTTTTCCGAATGAAGTCCTTCTTTCCAAAAACACTCCATCCTGATATCGCTCGCCTCTTCATTTAATAATTTTGTTCCCGGTCAACCTTTAATAATTGCAAGAAATATACGGTGTGTACATTATTGTGTTTTCCCTTTGTGTTCGTCTGCTAGTTTCTCTGTGATTTTTGTGAGTAGATCGTTTTAGTTTTGCACGTATTTCTATTGAGTCCAACTGTTGCAGCGGTTTTCGTTCAAATAACCTCTTCAAACATCTCCTGCAGTTCATTTTTTCGTAATATTTTGAATTCTCAGCAAAACTTGTTGTACCTGCGTTTTGTCTTACTCATATTTCCTTAAGTCCAAATGATCTGTTTACACACTGTTTAATGTGGGGGGGGGGGGGGGGCACACACGACGATCAGGATATAATTTGCGTACTCTCAGCCATGCAGTCACAATGCAAAGAATTGAACGCAATGCTGCCTCTTATGATCTGTGTAAATCAACGAGCTTATGCAAATCCACTGATGGGAATTTGTATTACCTTCAGGCCTACTGATTTGCTGCTTGTGCAGAAGGGTTTCTTCAAAGATGCGCTTCATTCCCTGGTAAAACAAGTCCTGATCTGTCTCGGCACACACACTTTGCAGCACTCCGTGCCTAGGCCCAAACCACTGCTCCAGGTCAGGCCAGTGTTTTTCAAATCCTACCAGCCTACATGCACACAACACGCGCACAAAAATTAAAACATCCACAACAGCAAATACTAGTCGCTACTAAACGGTACGTCTCTGCTCATGTGTCGTCTTCGCAATGGCTAGTGTGACAAACATTTTGAGAGCTTTCTTTTCTTTGAGTGCCAGTAAACAATATTTTCTCCACAATACAGGATTTTTTTGGTTTAGATCGAGTTAATATAAATGTGTCGTTAAACCTGCCACCACCCGACAACATCCAATTAGTAAGGTAAGATTGTAAATCTGAGTACACAGATTGTAAATATTGTAGATTTGCTCTCCAACACACCGGTGTGCTGTACTTGTAACGAATTGGCATATTCTGTTTGCTTAACAAACCTTACTAATTGGCTGTGCCGGGTGGTGGCGGGTTTAACGACACATTTATATTTACGCGATCTAACCCAAAAAAAACCTATATTATGGATGATATTAGTCACGTGTTAAATATTTTCTCGACGGTGCTATCAGTGTCATGCAATAGAGGACGAGCATTCACTTGAATCCCTCACAGAGCAGCACGACCCCTTCGCAGTCAACGGAAACAGATGTCACAGAGCGACCTCTGAGATCCCTTCAAGTGATTTCTGGTCCACACAGTAGACAGCAGCACTTTTAAACTCGCTCTGCCATTGAGGGTTAATATTTCGTCGCACAACTGTTTAAACTGATGTTCTTTTAATTCTTAGAGATTGAATTTACCCAAATTAAGTACAAAATGCAATTTTATCGTGGATTCTCTTGGGTTCTTTCGGTAAAGACACGTAGGTGAAAAATTATAAATAAAAATAATAAAATAATATTAGAAATAAAGAAATCACAACGTTTCGATTGCACACACAAGCAAACATCATCAGGTGTGACAACCACAGCAAGGACATTTTTACTGAAGTGGGAGAGAACCAAGAGTATGAATCCTTGCAGTCACGAAAACTTCAAATCTAGAATTGTAGATCTTTGTGCAATCTTTCCTGACCAGGATGACATCATCAACTCAATACACTTGAGAATCTGGCGTAATCAAAAGCGGCTGTCTGGGTTCAAACCCAGGATCTTAGCGCTGTGCTCTGATCTCTAAGCCACCCGGCCACCTGTCATTCAGATGGACATTATGGATGAGCAAGTAAGTAACGAGACAAAAGCTTATAGATAGAGGGAACAACACCTTGTGACTGACCATAGGCAGACAAGAAGAATAAATAAGGGTGCTACGGCGAGGCTAGGGTGGTGCCAGGACTAAGTGCTGGCAAGCGTTACTTGTTGGGTAGTTGATCCAGGTCCACCTCCGCTCCGTTTTCAACAGCCTTGGCACCTGCAAGATAAACTGCGCTTAACAAATGCTCTCAATGCTCTCTTAGGTGTGTTTTGTTTTTCCGGGTCGCTCTGCGTGACGTACGACGTTTCGCTCGACGTGCTGGGAGAGTTTCATCAGCAACTGAACACTTCATTCCGAAAAAAACCCGTAACACACATCAGAGATGTGTGTTCAGCATCATCGGGCGAATTGCCCGATGATGCTGGATGCAATTACAAGCGAAACGTCGTACTCAAATTGTAAATGTTGTGGTTTCACGCTTCAACACACCGGTGGGCTAAAGCAGTGAACTATTTGTCTTTTGTCAACGTGACACTTTTTTACTGATTGGCCGTGTCGGGTGGTGGAGGGTTACGACATATTTATAAATAACACGATCTAAACACAAAAACGTTGATTATGAATAATATTGGTCGCGAAAGCCTACGTGTTAGAGTTGCACGCTTGGAATTCAACTGATAGACCGGAAGTGGAGCACATCGCTTAGAGAATATAAGCAGGTTACAAACATTGCATTAACTGTTAAGAAAAATTAAGCGGGCTTGGGCAGGATACATTGCTATAGCACGGATGATGGCCAGAGTTACAAGGAGGGACACACGCCTCAGAGGACATGCACCATGCACTGTGGAGATGGAGCGACAACATCAGCTCATGTGCAGGTGCTTAGATGCATTCTTGCATTGTGAGACCCTGATAGTGTCGGCAAAGCCTTTATCCAGCAGTGGGTAGGTCATGATTGATGATGATGATGAATGAAGGTTATAGCGCTGGAAATAAATATAGTTCAGTGCATGCCAGAGATGGTGATGACTTTGGGAGGAAGCTATCATCAAGCAGTGGATAGATCAGGGCCTCTGATGAAGTGCTACAACTCTGGGCATGAATGAAGTGATGTGTACGACTACGGCTACTATTTTTATTTCAGCAAACAAGGTCTGCAGAATTATATAATTATTTTTCAGAAGCGACCTAGCCACAAGTGATAGCTCAACGAAGTGGCTTATGTGGAAAATTCTAAGAGTCAAATACTCCAAACGTATGTTGATTCTAAATTTGGAGGTAAAAACCAGAAGACTAGGAGTAAAATATAGGCGGCCACAGGGAGAACATGCATACTTCAATATACAGGCGTCAGGATTTGGCATCGAACCCAAGATATCCTGTATACCAGGCTACTGTGTGTGCGCGTGTAAGTCCTCACAAGACGCACTCTCAGCTCTTTCGAACACAGCGCTGTTGGACAGCGTGAGGACCAGAGCCAGGTCCAGAGCGGGTGGAGGAGGTGGCGCTTTGGGTGGGGCAAAGGGGTCCTGCACCAGCAGTGACACCTTTCCGCTAGCGGTGCCGCTACCCTGCTGCCCCAGCTCCTTCGAGCTTCCTTCCTCGAGGTCTTCGTCCCATCCAGTGAGGGCCTTCTCCAACAGCTTAGCCTGTTGCACTGTCGCAGGAAAGCCGTCTAGTATCCAGCCCGTCTGCTCCGGCAATTCCCTGGACCACCAACACACGGATACACACGGCTTTGGGTGCGTCTCACCAACGCTAAGCAATTCCTGATACAGGGATACAATCAAAACGGTGTTTCATAGTTTTTTTGCCATTGAACCAGACCAAGAAATGTACAAAAATAAATCTAATAGGATTGATATATGTCAATACACTTCAGGATGTGTTTATAGCATCTAAATGTAAGACAAAATAGTGGAACGTGCATCATAAAGAAAAAGGAAGCAAATACAGAAGAGCTTGCTTCTCTTTTCAGCGATGACAATGGGGCGCAATGGGCAGGTCCCAATACCCACGCTTACCCACACATTTCACTTGTCATCCACATAAATAAGCGTGAATAAACATGGGAATTAGGATGGATTTCCTGCCACTTTGGGATAATTATGCATCTCATCTGTGCTTTGGACGGTGAGTGGAGCACGTCATTCATCCTATTATGGCATTCAGCCTGTTAACTGCACCAAAGTACAGATAATAGTCTAGCTTCATTCTTTTCTGGCCTCATGCTCGACTCATGATACAGGCAAAGGGTAGTGTTACCCCGAGTAGTGGGCAGTGTTAGCTAATAAGTGGGTGAGAGCATAAGCAGTAGGCAGGGCCAATGCAGACAGAGGGAAGGATTGCCATCTCCCCATGTGTCCTGGCTGAGTCTCCTAGAAATGTGCCGTGATTGGGCGACGTGAATGCACGGTGGAAGTCAATGAGACTGCCCCACAAACCTCAACGCCTGCAGCACAAGAAATACGAGAAGCTGGTCAGGGACCACGCCTCCCTGCGCCAGAACTTCAGACGCTTGTCTTCCCAGCTCCACGCGGCACGGCAGCTACATCAGCCACAACAACGGCAACCACAGCAACAATTCTCCCTGGGCATAGGTGGTGGCACCACAATGATGATAACCCCCCCCCCTGACTTGTCAAATTTTTGGGATGAATATGCTACTTTTTTTTTTAAACACAGTTGCTAAGCACAGGACCCAAAGGCCCAAAACCTCAAGCAGCCAGCAATAAACTGGCACATTCGAAGTTGCAATAGATAAGGGTCTAACGCATTTCTTATATTGAATATGGTTATTATGAGAGCTTGGAAAAATGGATGCAGTCCAAAGTGGAGGGGCAGTGTTAGGGAAGTCTGGGTGATGAACACGGTACAGATGAGCCAAAACAAGTCAGTGCCTGGTAGACCAAATCCTCAACACGGGTGGAGGAATCAATGAGTGACGGTGATGGGAACAGTAACAGTGTGGTAGTAGCGATACAAGAGTGACAAGGAGGCGACAGGCCGCCGGTGAGCAGGTGACAGGAGTGCATCAGCGAGGGCTGGCAATTGGAGAGTGCTGCCCCCCGCAGTTATTGCTATAGAAGGAAACTGCATTTCAGCTGGACCCAAAGAGTGACCAACGTAGAAGTAAGAAAAAGCTTGTACAATGAAGTGATAAGAAGGAAACTGGCACTATTTGGACACATATGTAGGATGGACAACAGGAACATTAAAAGTGTATTGTTCGTAAAAATGGATGGAACAGGAAAGAGAGGAAGACCTAACAGAATGGCTTGGCGACGTAAGAGATTCACGCCAGAAAAACGTGCACTACTTGAGCATATTAGCACAAGACAGAGAAAAGTGGAAACTAATGACAAAATGTGCAGTGAACACCTAAGGGCTTTCTGCCCATGGATTGTGATGATGTGATGATGCACCACGTAGGTGCGGTGCCAGACCTCAGCATGGGTCACAGGGTCGGCCTCCTCATGATTGTCATCCCCTTCTGCCACGATCCTCTCATCGTCCTCCTAACAAAGAGTTCCACAAACTTCACTTAAGCGTTCACATAAAAACGATCCAATCCTGAACTCATGACTTTAAACTGAGTTTTATTATTATTAAACCAATGCTACCGGAAAATGCTGATCCAGAATGGCCATAGGGTTATGAACCAAAGTGCGATTAATATTATTATTTATATGGCGAGAATGATTGTGTAATTTACTATATACAATTCAGCACAACAGCAGAACATGGATGTTATACAATTCAGCGGATAACAACTACTGTAGCTTGTTTGTACATTGCTCACATCGTGTCCTCTCCTACAAACGAATGAATTTGGTAGAACAAGTGCTTTAAAATCCTGCTTATTATATTTTGGTCAGAAATGAACGAGGGTGCCTTCAATCACTCAGTGGAGACCTCATGCTCAGTGGGGTAGAGGCTTGCATTGTAGGTCTCCATAGACTCGAGCAATAGAGCAGACACGTTCAACGTCACCAGCCCACAATCTGGAGGCACAGACAGCACATCCATTAACAGAGTATCAGAAATGCACACTTAGCCACGTGGTCATATTGGACTTTCTTTCGCACCGTACGTTCAAGTTAATTTAATAGGTATAGCCCTGTGAGCCATTCGGCTCTTGAATCGGGTGCAACCGCAACAAACAAAAAAACAAAAAACATGAACAAAAAACATCTTAAAGTGAATAGTGACTAAGTGCAAACAGAAAATCCAAGAAAAGATAGCAAAATATTGCAGAAAAAACACCGTACACCAACGCTGTGTGCATAGCCAACTCATCGGAGGTGCGGGGGAAGGACAACAAAGAGCACACTTATACAAACGTGTGCTCAGCCACACATTCAATTATGTCCACAAAATAAATTCATTTATGCGAGCAGGCATATTATCAACATACTTCACCACGCTGGTCAGTGTGGGTCGGTGAAGGGGAGAGCCCAAGTGCTGGTTCAGCTAGTCATGGCCTGAAATCAAACTTAGGTTGCGATGTTTGTAGCCCAGTAAGCTAACCGCAACGTCATCACTCCCTCCAAATGCAATACATTATTCACATGACCGTAAACATTCTCACAGTCTATGGCTTTTAGTGGGATGCATCCCTCTTACAACAGAGTAGTGCGTTGGTGTATGGCTGCGGGTGTTACACAGGCATCGTACCTTGTGACAGGCGTTGCAGACAGCTGGTTTTTCCCGAGAAGGGCTTTCCCAGAACGCAGGCACGGATGGAGGACGGAGGCAAGGCGACGGGTGGTGCGAGTGACCGTGGAGGACGCACTAATGTGCAAATATGCCGTACCACGTGACCCAAGACGGCATTGTTGGGGGGCGGCTCCACGGCTGAACTGCCATCCACAGCTTGCCACTCTCCTTTCATGCCCTGCAGGGTTAGCGATAAGGAGAAGCTTTAACTGGGCAAGTCTCTGACACGTTTACGAGTCTTAACACGCGTTGCCCGCCGTAACGTTCAAAGTTTCGCTCCATGTTCTGGGAATTTCGTTCGGTACTGAACCAAGTGACCGATTCGGTTCACGAAGAAGCTCTCAGCATGCGCAGTGAAACGTCGAACATCGCGACAAAAACAACAGGCGGTGCAACGTGACGAAGGTGTACTTAGCTTGGCAGGGTGGTTCCGTATTAAGCGCAGCTGTACATTGCTGTTGATTTCCCTTACATTTACTCAAGACCTCCTTCACAAAATAATTTTTTTCGTACCAATGAGCTCTTACCAGGTGCTAAATAAAAGATCACCCATTAATGAATGAATTTTTTCCTGCGACAAACGACACGAATGTGATATAGATTTTTCTTTCTTTCATTAATTAATTGAAGCCTTCATAAATAATGACGACAATAATAATAAACCCACCGGTAAACAAAGGAGCCTTACGGAAAGGCCTGACACACTTTTCCCGCTACTTTCAGTGAATTGGATAAGTTGCTTTGGTCTGGTTGTTGCGAGCCTCTGGCATGGTCTTGGAAAACTTATGCAACTTGCAGAAATGCACATGCATTTATTAAAATACACTGCTTGTAAAGGTACCTTTTACCCTCGTTTTACCATATATGGACAGATGGATCAGAAACATCGACAATGACAAAGAAATTAGAACAAATCAAGATTGAACAAAAGCTGAAAACTGCACAAAGAGATAACGACGCTAGGAAAAGTAAGTGGCCTTGGGTAAGTGGTTGAAAATAACAATGGATTGTCAGCCAAAGGAGGAGATGGAGCGATAAAATTAGCTCATGTTCAGGCGCTAGATGGACAGCACCGTGGTGGGGCATGACGATAACTTGGGAAGGACATCATCGAGCTGTGGACTGCTTGTGGTTGATGAGGATGATTGTGGTGGTGGTGTAGTATCGTTGAAAGAAGTGTGCACACCGCACCAGGTAATCTAAGAAGTCTTGCTCATCAAGCGCTGCCTGTGTTTCCTTGTGGGCCATTGAAACAGTGGACTCGGAAGTGTCCTTTGGGTCGGGTGGGTCGTAAACAGGCAGCTCCAGCACAAACAGCTCCCTCCACTCGCGCAGCAGCTGTTTCGGGATATTCCTGTACAGCAACGCAAGTGTGCACGCTATTAATACTTGGCGAATATTAATTACCTGCAAATCACTTAATTGGGAGTACACAGCAAAAATTGCTCCTAAATGGCAGAATACCTATTTGCAGGCCAGGAGACAAGTCACCGTATGCTGCACAGGGACAGCTGCCACTGGGGGTGCCCTTTCAATTGTGTTGAGATGAGATTTGATGTAATTGGCTTATCGCGTGTGGCTAGCACCAGCACATGATGTGATGGTGTGCCCAGCACCACACCCGGCTGCCTTAGCGAAAGAAGTTCAAGTTTTTCAAGTTTATTTCCCCAGTGCATATTTGTACACACCACAACAGGCACTCATTTAAAGGTGAGTCGACCTCGTGAAGGCTTAGAACCGGATACAAAATTCGGCACTGATGTTAATCGTGAGCCGAAATCGAACTCTGGTCGCCGAGTTTGTAGCATAGACCGCTACACCACCACTCCCAATGTGCTTGGTAAGAATAACACGCACAGAGACAAAGATCGCACATATAGTCTATAACGGACTGTTGGGACAAGCGCTGTTCCCAAAAACCTATGAACCACACACACAAAGACAAAGACCCCCGTATAGGCTTCAACAGACTGTTGGGGCAAGTGCTGTTAGCGAGTATCAGTGAAGACTGCCATGGCACACGAGGGGGTAGGTGGCCAGCACCACATCCGACCGCCTTTGTCTCCCTAGTGGCGGTGTTTACACACCACACCAGGTACTCATTTGAGGCTGAGTCGACCTAGGGGAGGCCCACGACAGATTCAGATAATCGTCACTGGTGTTGGCCGTGAGCGGGAATCAAGCTAGGGTCGCCGGGCTCGTAGCGCAGTGCGCTACCCACTACTCCGCCACTCCCAAGGTGGTAAGAGTAGCATGTAGGCCTCGGCAAGGTAAGGTAATTGTACCCTTTTTACCGGGTAAAAGGGTAAAGGTGTCGACATGCCAAGGGGTAGGGTAAAGGGTAGGGTAAAAGGTAGGCTCGTTGCTTTTTACCTTTTACC